TAGACCCATATTTCTGACTTGCTTTGACTGATTATGTTCAAATTTTTAATATTTATTATACATCATGTCATAGATATACAGATATATTGGTTTGACAGTCCCATTCAAAATGGCCGAATGGTGGCCATTTTTGTGATAAAAAATCATCAAATATCAAGCATTTCTGGCATTTATGAATGGATTTCATTCAAACTTAGTACATACATTTGGACATTACGGGTTCCTGATGCACATCATTTTATTTTTCAGGTCGGATTCAAAATGGCTGACTGGCGGCCATTTTGTTTTAATGATTAGGCTTCTAGAGCCATATCTCTGACATGCTTTGACTGATTATGTTCAAATTTTATATATTCGTTATACATCATGTTATAGATATATACATGTATTCAAAATGGCTGATTTTGTTTTAATTAATGCTGTTCCAGAGCAATATCTCTCAATATGGACAAGTACTTGTTTGACGATCTGATACAAATGTCAATCATTTTAATGTTAAACAATCATCATAATCATATTCCTGACATGGTTATATTCCAGCTATATTACTATAAACAAAACTATATATCTTAAATTTGATAACTAACAGGGACTGTGCCATACATGGCTTGTTTCATTGTGTTTTGCTCAACTGAAAATGCCAAAACTAGATTATGCATCCAAAGGAACGTAGTGTGTAGGGAACTTTGACTCACTTGGCAGATAACATGTACAGATAACAAAACATTACACATTAGTTCATTACAGATAGTCTAGCTGTATTCCTCAAAACGGTCAGCTGAGGTAACACCTCACTGTTTACCTAAACAAAATCATACATACTCTCCAACAAAACTAAGGCATGGCATAGTAAACATGTGATCAGCCAACCTTCACCAAATTGTATGTCTCAATAGTATATTAATTGTATACATATTCTGTACAAAAAAGTATACTTTTTTGAAATTGTGTACATTTTATTTATACAAGTCAACAACAGTACATTATTTGTATACACACTTTACGCAAAACCATTAATGTATATTTGTTGTATGCTAGAAATGTACAGATTTTTCGCAAAGGATTAAATGCCTAAATATTGTATAATTTACATATACATATATACAATATCATGACATTTATGTTAGAATCATGTCACAATGAAGTATAATTTATGTATACATATACTGTACAAACTATTGACTTGGCATCATGAAAAACATTAGTACTATTTATGTACACATAGAATCTACAAATATTATCCTGTTTTGGATCCTAACATGACTTATTGCCAATTTTTATGAACTTTTTCTTGATCAATTTAACTAAATTAACATTTAATTTCCCAATATGTATCTAGTTTTAGGCATTTTCAGTTGAGCAAAACACAATGAAACAAGCCATGCATGGCACAGTCCCCATTAGTTATCAAATTCAAGATATATAGTTTTGTTTATAGTGATGATATTCTTAATTCTCTAATTTTGGTGAATATTTTTGTCATTTTTGGTAAAAAGTGATATTTTGGACTTCTTGTTAAAAACCGCAAGTCCAATTGCTTTGATATTACATATATAGATGCTACATGTGGACCTTTCTCAGATTTGTTCATTTTGTGATGATATCTTAAATTCTCTAATTTTGATGAATATTTTTGTAATTTTTGGTAAAAAGTGATATTTTCAACTTCTTGTTAAAAACCAAAAGTCCAATTGCTTTGATATTACATATATAGATACTACATGTGAAACTTTCTCAGATTTGTTCATTTTGTGATGATATCCTCAATTCTCTAATTTTGGTGAATATTTTTGTCATTTTTGAAAAAAGTGACATTTTTGACTTCTTGTTAAAAAACCGCAGTCCGATTGCTTTGATATTACATATATAGGTACTACATGTGGACCTCTCTCAGATTTGTTCATTTTGTGATGATATCTTTAATTCTCTTATTTTGGTGAATATTTTTGTAGTTTTTGGTAAAAAGTGATATTTTCGACTTCTTGTTGAAAACCGTAAGTCTGATTGCTTTGCTATTATATATATAGGTACTACATATGGACTTCTCTCAGATTTGTTCATTTCGTGATGATATCTACATTTCTCTAATTTTGATGAATATTTTTGTCATTTTTGGTAAAAAGTGATATTTTCGACTTCTTGTTAAAAACTACAAGTCCGATTGCTTAGATATTACATACGTAGGTACTACATGTGGACCTCTCTCAGATTTGTTCATTTTGTGATGATATCTTCAATTCTCTAATTTTGATGAATATTTTTTTTCATTTTTGGGTACTATACATGTACTATACACAATGGGAGTCTTTGCAGTTACCCTGTATGTGTGTGTGTGTGTATGTGTGTGTGTCTGTCCGTCCAACTGATATCTCAAGAACCGTATGTTGGTTTTTAATGAAACTTGGTGTATAGATGCTCTGGGCTAATGCACAGATTTGATTAGGTTTTGGTTGAAATCCATGCATATTAATTACCTGTTTTGCATGATAATTAGGTAATTTTTAGCTGTTCTTTGACTGTTCCACTGATATCTAAAGAGCCATTCATTAGATTTTGATGAAACTTGGTACATAGATGCTCTGGACTAATGTACAGATGTGATCAGTTTTGGGTAAAATCCATGCATATAATTAACCTAATTTGCATAATGATTAGTAAATTTTCGCCTTTTGCACTGATATCTCAGGTACTAATAATCACATTTCAATGAAACTTACATAGGTACATAGGACGATGAACAGACAGATATGTGAAATATTAATTACCTTATTTGCATAATTAATAAATTTGCAGCTTTTGATATTTCAAGTACTATTACTTCATTACTTTTCAATGAAACTTGGTACATAGATGCTCTAGAACAATCCAAAGACCTGATTAATTTTAAGTAAAAATGTGTGCATATTAATCAACTAATTTGCATAATTAGTTACTAATTATCCCATTTCAATGAATCATGGTACATAGCTTTTCCAGGGCAATGCACAGACCTGTTGAGTTTTGGATTAAAATCAGTTCATATTAATTACCTAATTTGCATAATTAGCCAATTTTCAGCTTTTACAATGATTTTCACAATGTGCTAATTATTCCATTTCAATGAAACTTGGTACATTGATGCTTCAGAACAATGTGCAGATCCTCTCAGTTTTGAATTAAAATCAGATCATATTAATTACCTAATTTGCATAATAAATCATAATTTTTGGTTATAATCACATTTCAAAATGATGATCTGTGACAGTACTTATCTTAATTCAATGAATCTTGGTACATATGTACTCTAACACAATGTGATGATCAAATTAGTTTTAGATTTATGTACACATCTATAAATAATTACCTAATTTGCATAATAATTTACTTTTCAGCTTTCCACTAATTTAGTTAGGATTAATCATCACATTATAATAAAACTTTGTTACATGTGCACCCTGAAACAATATACAGACCTAAATCTATGCATAATAATTGCTTAATTTGTATAATAATTCATTTGGTTCATTGAGGTAATCCACAGACATGTTTAGTTTAATGTTGATAAACATGCATCTTGATTATCTATTATTAGCCCATCTAAAAAAAATCAGATTTAAATTGAATTCATTGCAGAGATGCTCTGGAATAAATTAGACTAAAAACCATGGATGAAAAATCAAATGTATTTTCTGTATGTATTATAAATTTTGATAATGTGAATCAAATTTTTTTCATGTTATGCATCTCAAATAGCAGACAAAAATTAGTTGCCAAGCTTCTCGCTTGAAAAGCAAATCATAAATGTTGAATTAATTTTAATGTGTCTCCAATACTCTCTCAGCACACAGGAGTTCTTTCTAAGCTTTCTTTAATCTAATGATATCTTCAGTTCTTTAATTGAAATGTGCCTTGCTAACAGCGGAGCTATCTCAGCCGACAGGCTGCTTGTTATTAAATAACACTTGCACACCTCCCTGATTTAACAAACGAAGAAAAAAACAGCAGAAGAAAAACTGAATACAAGTCAGAAACAACCAAGACAAAACAATATCTTCAGCCGAATCATCCTGTGGTGCATACATATCAAAATGTGGAACTATTAAAAATTAAAAACAAGGGGTTCATTAACCTTTTCACCACCAGTTCCCTCTTTTTGGTCTATGTTTATAGTCTGCTCTTTCTTTCAGAAGATTGGGACAAAAATAGGCAAATTTTTTGAGTAAAAACTGAAAATAAGCTTAACTTTCGTCTTTTGGCTCAAAAATTTGGGTTCATTTCTAGAAATATTGAAGAATATAAGAAAAAAGTGCAGAAAAATTTGGGCATGAAAGTCTAGTTGTGAAAAGGTTAAAGAAAAAATAAAGAGAGGAGGTAATGGAACTTGTTTTGATGGAAACACTTCTTTTTCTAAAGCGTACGTAACAGCCTTCATTTGTAGCCATTTTGAATTGACCTTTTGTCAAAATACATAAAACTACGGTTCATAATTGAGCGACTATTTATTTCATGATTCTTTCAAATAAGTAGCAAGTCATATAGAATCACTGTGTTCTTGCGTCATAATTATTTAACCCACTACATCCGTAGCATAATTGTTCCAGGGATAATAGTATTTTCCAACTGATAAATTGCTGTGTATAAACCTTCTTTGTAAGATCTCTACAGTGAAAGACACAAAGCTGGGGATGTTCCACTGCATTCTGTGATGCTTTTTGTTAGAAATGTGTTAAATAAAACCTAATTTATATATAAAAAATAGAAAAGTGAATTGCATGCAGAATAGGGTCTTCATTGCATATCCAGGATCCTTGATCTTCACAGTGACTTAATTGGGCTCTTTGATATTCGCTATGTTCTTCCTATGTGCTAAAGCCGTTTTATGAATCTTTGGTCTTGAAAATTGGTGTTTTTCTCAACTGTGAAGTTCAGCTCTGCATATCATCGTATATAGAGTTGCAATCTTGATGATACTTCATTACTTGTATAGCATTAATAGTTTTCATTTGTTTTTGCAAGTATAGGCTGTGAACACTTAGCTGATCTGATGATTGGAGATAAAGAAGTTAAATGTATGCATCCGCAGCAAAATCTACTATCAGCTCTGGCACCAACATTAGTCAGAGACATAGATGCCAGAACTCTGTGTGAGAAAATCCCGTGTTTAAATGAAATGGATGAACAGCAGATTAAGAATGACTACGACCAACATGGAGCTCAGAGAGCGGCTACTACATTGCTTTACAGAGTGGTGAAGCGTGGACCAACATGGTTTGATGAATTGCTAGCTGCATTGAAAGAAGATTCTAAACATCTTTATGATGTTATTTTAGGCACTTCCAGTTCTTCCAATGCAGATGATAACAATGATGATGATGATGAAATCAAAGCTGGTATGTTCAGTTAATGTATTCCAAGCTGAATTCAAATTTTGCACATATATGCAATGCATTATGGGAGATAACCTCCCATTGTATATAATGGAAAACTATAGTATCACCATGGAAACTTGATTATATTTCAATTTTTTGAAACTATATTACAATATTATATTGCATATCAATAATTTATGACTTTTTCATCCTATGTCACAGAGAAAAAATTTTGAGAAATGCCAACTTGTATTACCAAAAATATTATATTTTGGCTCAAACCTCCTTAAAGCGGGGGAGTCGTCACCTGCACATGCGTCAGATGGCCATAGCGTGTCACTTTTTACAAACAAGCGTCTACCCATGAGCCTTTGTGTTTTTAGCGTGTGTTGTTATCGTGGCTTGTGACTCAATTCCTGCGCGTGCGCAGGTGACGACCCTCCCGCTTTAAGACAGTAGTATATCTATTTGTACCTTTTTGATCGAAGTAATCTTGTCATCCATACTGACAAATCAGTTCCAAGTTTAAAAGAAGTAGCATGATTGAAGGAAGGTCAGGTCACCGATCATATTATAGTTAATTATGTTTAATATTTACTATTGATTCTAGAGAAAGAATTGAATGCAGGTATTGCTGCTGCTGATAAGATTGGCAGGTCTAATCCTATAGCAGGTAAATGAATTGAGTATGATTGATATACTCATATAAATAGCACAGTGGTGTTGCAAATTTATTAGTTCCCAATTGGATGTATTTCGAAACACAAGGATTTATAACATGTGTCCGTCCGTACGTTCGCACCTCTATCTCAGACATACATGTACCTGGGCCGATTTCATTTATGCTTCACACACGCATCATACCATACATATGCTCATGCATTTGTTTCATGATCCGTTTCAAGATTGTCAATTAAGCATTTCTTCCATTCTGAAACCAGATCTCAATCATGCATGGACATATTTCATTCAAATTTGGTGTGTCCATTAAACATAATGAGTGCTTGATGCATGGCATTATTCTTCCCAGATTTTATTCTAAATGGCTGTCTGATTTTAACAAATGCTGTTTTTGGAACAATATTGCTAACATGACAGAAGTGATCATGCTCAAACTTTACACATACATTACATAACACATTTGGCTGATTATCATTTTTCATGCTAGAAATGCATTATGAATGTAATAAGAAGGAACCGCACAAATATAAACTCTTCATATCATGTCTGTCACATGAGTGTATGTAATTATTTGGCACTGAAATCTGAACTGGGTTGTAAGGAAATAATTGTGTGAACGTGGTGCATGATGGTAAAATATGGTATGTATGTGAGTTATCAGTGTGAGAGCTAGGGTTTGCAAAGTACTAGTGAAGATAAGGATATCAAAAGCAAAAAGAATGAGTGAGAATGAGTGGATATATAATGGAGAGATAGGTAGGGGACATCATAGTGAGAGGGAGGGGACATCAAAGGTAGAGGGAGGGGACATCAGAGTGAGAGGGGACATCAGTGTGAGCGGGAGGGGACATCAGAGTGAGAGGGAGGGAACATCAGAGTGAGAGGAATGGGACATCAGAGTGAGAGTGAAGGAGCATTGGAGTGAGAGGGAGGGGACTTCGGAGTGAGAGGACATCAGAATGAGAGGGAGAAGACATTAGAGTGAGAGGGAGGAACATCTGAGTGTGGAAAGGGGACATTGGAGTGAGAGGTAGGGGATATCATAGTCAGAGGGAGGGGACATTGGAGTGAGAAGGAGGGACATGAAAGGCAGGGGACATTGGAGTGAGAGGGAGGAGACATCAGGGTGAGAGGGAGGGGACATCGGAGTGAGATGTAGAAGACATCTGAGTGAGGAAAGGGAACATTGGAGTGAGAGGTAGGGGATATCATAGTGAGAGTGGGAGGATAACATGAGGATAAGAATGCACTGACATTGACTGTATATACTGTGCAGGTGACAATGCAAGCAGTAGTGGAAATGTTTCCAATGATCTTAACAGAGCATCAGCTGATGCAATTGAATTAGTGACTGGTGCCAACAATGCTGAAAAATGTCAAACTATCGATGAGGATACCAACGTGATCACAAATAATGTCCAATGTGAGAGTAATACAAAACTGATGGTGACACTGAATGTTGATGAAACAGACACTGACAAGATGAACGCCGCAGAGAATGCTGAATCCAGTGATAAAGGTAAATTATCTTACTGCTTTAATTCAAGACAAACTTTTACAAATTTCGTCGTAATAACTATTCCTCTGGGGTTCTACGTTATGGAGTGTCAGTGACATTTGGAAAATTATTCCTCTCAAATGCCATGAAATCAGTGAATCACAAAAATGTTTATTACTTTAGCTGTAATGTTTTGTGGTTAAAAGAAAGTACATACAGCTGAATATATACATGTATACAGTATAGCATCCAGTGTACTGATGCTGATGTATGAAAGCATGTATGACAAAATATGAGATTATTTGACTCAAATTCAGAACTAAATTTCTTGAGTTTAACTGTGACTCTTCCTTCTTGTCATCATGCTCATTTAAGTTTGAAACTTGTGACTTGCTCATTTTTAGTCCTCATTTCGAATAAAGTTCAAAATCAGTGGCTATTAATTTTGGTTCCGTCTTTCAGTCGGTGCTTGCATACAAATACCATTTCTAAGATATATACTTTCACATAGACCATGTATGATGACTTACATATGCAAATCAATTTTCTTTACCATTTGATCAAAGCATGGCTGACTGGTGGCCATTTTGGTTTTCTCAAGATACTTAACCATGTCTGGGACCATTTCACCTCTCGCAGATGAACATGGCAAACTCACTCAAACTTTGCATCAAGGTCATGCATATTGGGTTACAAATAAACATCCTATTTTTTGAATTTGAATAAAAATGACCAAATGGTGACACTCATGTCTGTGCTGATTTCTCAATAATATATTGCCTGCCTGATTTAGTTGAAAGTTTGCATACAAGTACTCTTGTCAAATTAATGACCTGTTCATCTAAAAACCTGAAAATGTTTCTCAATACATTTCAAGACAAAAATGGCTGAAATGTGGTAATTTTTTTTATTCATGTCCATGTCGCTTTCGAGAATGGAATTTTGCCAAGTGTTTAAAACCAAGATAACAAATACACTGGAATGGAATTCAGTAAATACATTTGCAAGCTCTTCCTAAGATGTCAAACTGCCTTTAAAGAGATTTAACAGCTACGTAGTCATATTTAATTATTTTTGCTCAAACTTTATTATATTTAGTCCCCGTTCAGACGAAGTCCGAAAACGGGGACTTATAATTCGGTCTCTGTGCGTCCGTGCGTCCGTCCGGAGTCATATCTCAGAGTCCCTTGGACCGATTCCGTTCATTCTTTGCATGTGCCTAGTACTTTATGTGGGACATATGCACATGCAGTGGTTTAAGCGATTCGATTCAAAATGGCCGACTGGCAGCCATCTTGTTTTTTGAAAATGATGTATTTTGGACATGCTTTGTCAGTTTTCATTCAA